GATCAGAGAACTGTTAACATTTGGAGAACAAGCTGAAGCTCGGCCTCAGAATCACAAAAGAAACAATCTCTTTGGAGCAACATTCCTAGCAAGTACGGTCATTCAGGAAGCCAGCCCCTGATGGACCCCAAAGGAGCAAGCCAGAGGGTCTGAAACCAAACTTGGTAAATTTGCAAACTGCAGTGATGTGTTAATCCTCAGCTTTCTCTTCTCAAGTCTCTCTCTGACCCACTCTTGGCCTGCCAGTTAAACCCACTGTGTCTGCTCTGTGGATAAAGGTGTTTCTATTACCTAAACAGGCATAATCATAACCGTCATGCAACTGAGCAAAGAAAGGATGCGGGATCTCTAGGCCCCGCTGGCTTGGAGTGGAGGCAGGGACTGCTCAAGTCCATCTCATGCCGAGCTCAGAGCCTCCTCAGATTTGGTCCCAGGTGGGGCAGGGCAGGACTGGGAACGGGCTGGGGAGCAAGTGGCTCTCAGTGTCCTCTGGCAGGGCTGCCACACCCTTATCTTGGGCACACCTCAGATGAAGGCAACTCCTTCCACAGTCTGTTCTCAGGTTTGTCCAGCACAGCCCTCTGTGGGGGACATTCCAGCTGGTCTCAGAGGCATTCCAAAATATGTCCTCACATTCTCTCAGTCCAACTACACTTCCTTCCTGCACTTCCTCTTGGAGATAATGCATAAGGAATATTTCTTGGGTATCCAAATCTGCTCCTGCTTTCTAGTGTTTTGGTTTTTAGTACACACTTGCCTTATCTGAGCCAAATTGTTAGGGTCTGTCTGTTCATTGCTCCTCTCTGCCTTCCTCTTTTAGGATGAAATGTCCAGATCCCTTTTAGGGTCTTTCAGAGCAATTCTACCCTCTCCCCAACCCTCACCCAGGCATTTCTCCCATCTCTTTAGTAGCCCTTCCCTGGACCTGCTCCTTTTTTGCACCATAGAGTAAGGGGATGAGAATGTTCCAGCCTTGGCACCCTGGCTTCGCCCAAGGTTCTCCCCCTTCCCTCCATCCATCCTTAAATATACATATTTTTATACTGGCGGAATCTAATTAAAATGAACTGAAGTAGGATTGCCAGATAAAATACACGCATCCAGTTAAATTTGAATTTTAGATAAACTACAAATGATTTTTAGTATAAATATGTCCCATGCAATATTTGGAACATACTTATACTAAAAAAGTATTCGTTGTTCATCTGAAATTCAAATTTAACTAGGTGTCCTGTATTTTTATTTGCTAAACCTGGCAACCCTAGTGAAGAGTCTCCTGGAGTTTGGGAAAAGAGGTCATGAAGTCAAGGAAGGACATCTTCACTCACTGGGCCTTACTGATGGAGGGATGTGGGGGATGAGTGATGATGGTCTAGTGTGTGGTTGGCAGCCTCTAAGATAAGCCCCAATGATCCTCGCCTTCTGCTATTCATGCCTTTGTGTAATCGCCTCCAATTGAGTGTGGACTGGACTTATTGACTTATTTCTAATGAGTAGGATATAGCAGAAGTCATGGGACATCACTTGCAATATTAGGTTATAAAAAGACTGTGGCTTCTGTAGGGTACTTTCTCTTGCTGTCTCTTGGATTTCTCTCAGGGAAGCCAGCTGCCATGTTGTGAGACAGCCCAATGGAGAGGCCCACATGAATAAGCTTGGAAGTGGGTCTTCTAAGGCCTGCCATCGGCCATGTGAATGTGCTTAGAAGTGAATCCTCCCCCAAGAGAGCCTTGACATTACTGTGGTCCCTGCCAATATCTTGGCTGCAGCCTTTTGAGAGACTCTGAGCCAGAACCACCCAGCTAAGTCACTCCTAGATTCCTGACTCACAGAAACTGTGAGATAATAAATGCTTATAATTTTGAGCCTCTAAGTTTGGGGTAATTTGTTACATATCGGTAGATAACTAATACAAAACAAAAAACAAAAACCAGTTGCCATTGTGTCAATTCCGACTCACAGAGACCCCATGAGTATGAGAGTAGAACTGTGCTCCATAGGGTTTTCAATGGCTGATTTTTTGAAAGTAGATCGGCAGGCCTTTCTTCTGAGGCACCTCTGAGTGGACTCAAACCACCAGCCCTTACAAAGTGCATGTTAAAATGCCTTACTTTTGACTCCACACCAACTCAGGGCTGCCTCCTGGGGTCACTAACAAGCCATCGGTTGCTATAGAAATTCAAGGCCTCTGGCTACATAACTATTTTTTTGTGTCCAGTTTTCCAAAATAATCACAAAATATCAGATGAGTGGGCTCTTGAGGATTATGGAACTCTGCCTCTTTGTGGACCAGGAAGGTGAAGCCCAGAGAGGGGAAGTATCTCTGTCAAAATCACCAGCTAAATTTGGACAGAACCCAAACTAGAGTCCAGTTACCGGCTCCCAGGCCAGGGCTTGAGCACTAAACCAGATTGCCTCTCAAAAATTACTTCCAGGGAGCATGTCAAACTGGGATTCTGAACTGAGACTCTTGGTATTTCAGGACTTCCTTGTGCTAGTCCAAACAACAGGCTGTCCTGCTCTGTGACAGGAGAAACATGGCCTCACTGTGTCAACAGTCCTCCCTGGCCTGGTGTTCTCCCTTCCCCCCATGCCCCTAAGTTTCAAGCAGGTGCAGATTAACCAGTAAACGCCGTATGCATCGGTTTACAGTAAGCTAGGTATGCATGAGCTTAAATGTGTTTACTTACTAATCTGTAGTAAACAACTTCACATGGGTTTCACCAAATCTTTGATAAGTAAGCACAACTAAGCCTGTGCATACCTCACTTATTGGGTAATCCGACTCTGCCAAGGCTTCTATAGCCCTTACTCCTAACAGGAGGTGCTGACTCTCTCCCCTCCAAAAAGGAATCTTCTCTTTTGTTCTCTTTTCCATCATTACCCTATGAAATAGAATCATGGTCACCATCTAGCTGAAAGACCTTGGACAAGTTAACTTACCTCTTTCTGGAAAATGGAGGTTTGGATGAGATAACCTCTATAGCCCCTTCTACCTCTTCAATTCTTTCTCCAGAAGAGGATTTTTAATTTCCTCAGATTAAATTGTGCTCAGTGGGAGGACTCCCATAATGGATAACTATAGAACACTACCTCCTCTCAGGCTTCCCTTGAAGGTTTGCAGGAGGAAAAGGTATGTTTTCACTTCTCATCCTGAGCCAAGGCTGCCTCGGAGCCCAGGCCAGGCACCCTGCATCCTGGACCATGCCTCTGCTGTGGGCCTGGCTGGCTGCGTTTGTGAAATGAGCTTGGGACGTTCTGACCGGATGCCCGCCACGCACCTGTACAGCTGATGTTGGCTACACAGGTTTCCTCAAGGACTTCGTTTTTTGCCACGCAGCAGCTGAATGATGGGTTCGGGTAGTTGGGCCATTCATGTGTAATGATATTCTGATGACTTGTATTGACAGGTTTATTATTTAGATACAGTTTTAACTCAGTATCACTTCCATTCATTACCTCACAGGTCAGAGTTCTGTTGATACATTTCCAGGAGATCACTGGTTTTGAGACCATCTCTGAAAAGATAATAAAGATCCAGTTCACATTAGGCTATTTTCTGACCTTAATGGATACACCTATTTATAGAGGGAGCGTTGGGGCCAGTTTGGAACCAGGAACAATTTCAAGCCCCCTTTTATTTTCAGGAAAAAAAAAGTTTCTGATAAAATTTGTAGATACATTATACCAGTAAAAAACATATAGCATCTTATGTTTATGTGCTGTTTTATAGCTTAAAACATTTTCACATACATGATATCATTTAATCCTAACAAACTGAGAAGCTGATGCTTTTCTTCCAGCTTATGCATGAAATGCCCAAGGCTCTGACAGGGTAAATGGGCGATCTAAGAATACCCACTTATAAATGTTAGATCAAGACAGGAGCCTGATCTCCTGAGTCCAAGCTCAATAGCATGAATAAAAGGGCTTCCATGTCCGCATCCCCACTGGCCTCAGGGGGCAATGCTTTAAGAACCCTACACTGGGGAAGTCATCATCTGTGGGGCCTGGGGCCTTAGCCAGAAATAAAAAGGGGGTAGATCCCCCACCTCCCACCAGGGTTCTGGGAGCAGAGTGTGAGAGGTGTGTGTGTGGGTGCTATAAGGAGCTCAAGGGAAAGGCACTAGCCTGGAATCAGGAGACCCGGTTCTGCCCTCTCTTGGCTGAAATCTTCATGGCTACACTCTGTGCCTATCTGGACCTCATCTGTAAGAGAAGGATAAAAAAAAACATTCTCTGCCAGACACAAAAGGGGCAACATGCAGCAAAGCTCTGGGCTAACTGTTAGGTACTCGTATTATTGGGAGCCCTTGTGGCTCAGCAGTTATGAGCTTGGCTGCTAACCAAAAGGTTGGCAGTTTGAATCTACCAGCTGCTCCTTGGAAACCCTGTGGGGCTGTTCCTACTCTGTCCTATAGGGTTGCTATGAGTTGGAACTGACTCAACAGCAACAGGGTTTTTTTGGTTTGGTATTATCGGTGGTAGTTCTCACATTCACAATCATAAACTCCTTATCTCTTCTTTTCCGATATTCTAATAATTTAAAGGCTGCATCAAAAAGGAAAAAGCCTTCGCCTTGACATCAGATAGGCCAGGTCCAAATTCTAGGTCCACGATTTCCTAGCTGTTAAGACATCAATTTTGCTTATCTACAAGTGGCTGTGCTACTATCTTCCTCCATGCTGGTGGGTGAAGAGTAAATGAGTTAATAAACAAATGAATGTAAAAATCTAGCATCAGTGCGTGGCACACGGGTACTGGTTGGATCAAAAATTCAAGTGGGTTTGGAATACTGGTGCCAGCTCTGTGGGAGTTCCCATTTCAACCACCCACATCAAGGTCATCCTTGGAACACTGCTGTCTGGGTCACGCTGGAGAAGAAACTCAGGACTGGCTGCTTCATCTGCAGGTCCCCTCCAACCTCCAGCCACCCTCTCAGGTCAAGTCCCAGCTCAGCCAGCTTTGAGAACCCCTTACTCCGGAAACCAGAGGTCACCAGGACTGCACCAGGCTCACTTTTTCTTCCTTCTCTCTCTTCTTGCCAGCCTCTCCTCTCCTCCTCCTTTTTCTTCTCTTTCACTCTTTTTCTCATACTTTACTCCATTCTCTTTCCCCTGGTTTGATAGCCTTCTGTCCGCTCATTATGCAGATTGACAGTTTACTCTTCACTGATTCCCTCCCTCCCTGACTCCCAGGCAACAGTATCATCCCCATGAATGTTCCCAGCCAAATTTCTTTTTCTGTCACAGTATACAAGCATGCAGAAATAAAGTTTTATTTCCATCCAGAGAATGGCAAAACTCCAACACACAACCCGCCAGCGCCAGTGCCAGTCTAGGGGTGGGGTCCAAGCGTTTGCCTGTCTTTTCAAAATGGAGGTTGTCTTTTTGCTGTGTACAGTAAAACCTGCAAAAGCTGGAAACTGTGTAAGGTGGAAACCTGTCAGAGAAGGAAAACTCAAATATTTTCCACTAAAACGAGTGATAGAAATGTGGTAAGACTGTACCCTGTCAAAGGTGGAAAACTTGTGAGACCCGGAAAAACAAGGCAGTCCCATCGAGTTCCAGCTCTCACAGGTTCCACTGTGTAAGAGTATCATACAAGCATTGTGAAAATTGATAAAATGTCAAAAAAAGTTTAAAAACTATTAAAAATCACCTGTGATTCCACTACCCAGAATCAATAATTATTAATATTTTGATGTATATCTTTACCAGGTATTTTCTATGCATATATACATATATAAACAATATTAAAGCTGGATTGTATGATTTTGTAGTCCGCCTTTTATTCCTTACTGATCCATTACAAGCTTTTTTTCCTTTACAAACATCAATAAATATACATCTCTGCCCTATTTTAAAATAATACACTCATAATTTAATACGTTTCTAACTGTTGGGGACTTTTGAATCCCTTTCATTATTTTACTAACATCATCAGTGCAGTGAGTGATATGCAACCTGTGTAGCCTTATCTTTGTAGATCTCCTTTCTGTAAGATCACTTCCCAGAAGTGTCGTGGCCTGGGTTAAGTGGGTGCACATCTTTAAGGCCTTCTCATAGATGAGAACTTAACTCTGGCTAGGATCATTTCCTTCTCCACTAATATCTGCTTCTAAGGGCTCTTCAGCCAGTGGCTGCTCAGCCCTCTCCTTGAGGAGATGTGGGCCCCATGACTGGGCATGGAGAAACAAAGAAATGGGGGAGGGGACAAATGCTGAGCAAATACATACATGTCCCAGGCTCTGCAGAGCACGTTTTCATACGTTGTCTCATTGAAGCCCTCAGTGTCCCCTGAAGCTGTTATTATTGTGAAAACCAGACTCAGAGCAGATTGGAAATTTGCTCAAGACCACGTGGCAAATACTGGTGAAAGGACCACAAATGAACAGGCTGCATGCGCACACACATATGCAACGCTGAGGCAACTGCTGTGTCATGGAAAGATCGTGGTTCTTCGGCTAAGGGGGGCAGATTTCTTTGGGGGGTAAGGAAAATGTTATAAAATTGATTATGGTGATGGTTATACGCAACTCTGTGAATATACTAAAAGCCCTTGAACAGTACACTTTAAATGGGTGAATTGTATGGTGAGTTATATCAGTAAATCTATTTTAAAAATAAAGATCACTGTCTTGCTAACAGGATCCCCGGGTTTCAGTCCGGGTTTTGCTCTTGTCAAGTTGCGAGACCCCGGACAAGTCACTTCCGCCTGGGTCTCTGTTTCCTTATAGAAAATAAAGGGGAAATAACCACTACCTCTCAGGGTCGTGCTTTAAATAAGATCATGTATGCGAAGCGCCTGACACCTAGCTGCAATTGACTACGCCAGCTGCTACACTAACCAAGACATGAGTGGGAAAGTGCTAGCACGGAGCCCTGCAGAGGCTGCGGTTCTAAACAGACCCCTGGGCCCATGCAGGCTGGAGTCATGAGGTCTGTGGTTCCCAGAGTCCATAATCAGTGCTCCCTTCTGCTCCACTCTCAGCCTCATGCCATTTCTGGACAAGTTCCTCATTCAAGCATCCAGGACTAGAGTATAGAAAATCATCGTTTTCAGGAAGGTTGACAATGTCTGGGATTGTTGGAGTGGGACCGCTGCTTTGTCTGTGTGTCAAGGGCAGAGCTGCGAGGGTGACCGTGGATAGGAGGAGGGGGCCCTGCCTCTGGTAACATTTCCTGTGTGAAGCCCAGACATGTTTGTTTGCTCACCAAGCAGCTGGGCTGTTCTTGTGTTGGTTTTTCGTCTTCTTCTCCGAGTCAAGTGCAGTTTCATCTTCTCACTACCCCTTACTGCTCCCTGTCCAGTGTCCCCTGGACTTTCAATTCAATGTCACTTGCATTCCTAATTCTCTTCCATCACTCCCTCACCCAAGTCATCTTGCCCATCTTTTCTCCATAAACAACCCTCAGGATGCTCATCCCACATTCTAGGCACCATTTGGGACAGTGGTTACCAACTCTGGTAACTCATCTGCAGATCCTGTGTAACCCAGAAGCTTTAAGAATCTTATGATGCCCGGGCACCATGTTGAGAAATTCTGATGAGGCCTGAGCACTAAAAACTTTTAGTCGTTTCCCAGTTGACTCTAAATGTGCAACCAGGTTCGGAATCACCTACCAGCCCCTCTTCACTTCACTTAGATTGTAGCAGCAGCTTCCTGGCTGGTCTTTCTGCCTCCATCTTCAGTACTCACTCCTGCTCTTCTAGAACATGCACAGACATACAAAGCCACACCCTGTGTATTTTCTACACATACCCGCAAAAATCACCTTCCACCTTCGATCACTCTATGTTGAGCAGATCAGAAACAAGGGCTTCTTATCCTCAAATTCATTCTTTCCAGCCCCTCCCTGCCATAAACTACTCCTTCTGAGAACCCTGGCTTGGAATTGTCTCTTTAATTGAAAGACCTGCTCCTTTCCTCTCCAGTTAGCCTCTCCTCCCCTGCCCCACACACCTAGCTTGCCCCTTCCTCACCTGGAATGGCCACTGTTTTCCATTCTCCACCTGTTTCCCTCCTCCTGATTAATGCCACCATAATCCAGGTCTTCAGCCAACCCCACATCCCTGTAACCAACTGGAGAGGGAGTTTTAGGCGGACAGACTTGGGAGTCTGTCAGCTGTTTATTTCCACATAGGTGGCTTCTGTCTCCCCCATATGACTGTAGTCTCCACTGGGGCAGGAGAGATGTGTTACATTTTCTTTAGAGCTCGCCTTCTGGGGAGTGACCTTTCTCCCAAGGTCACTGTGGGGACATTCCATAAATGCTATTCATCAACTTGCTAAATAGTACCCATGCTGAAATGGAGGAATTTAGGAAACAAAGACTTACCTAGAATCCTCAAATCAATTGTTCTTTCCAGCACATTTTTCCCATGTATATCAAATAGCATGACCTGGTAGGTACCGTTACTATTTCTCGTCAGATTTTTAATTTGCAGAGTTCCATCTGAGAATATGTGATATGTTTCATTTAGCTGGTAAATGTCCTTGCCTTTGCGAAATTGCCCAATCTTGGTTTTGGTTTGTGCTATGTACCATCGTATATCATCTATAGAATCATTCATCGGGAAATCAGAAATGGTCAGGTTGACGTCATGGTCCAGGATACCGCAGGTGATCTCAACCTTTGCAGGGAATGCACCTATAAAAAGCAAGACAGTTACTGAGGACTTGAGGCTCACTGCCAAGGAAGGCTGGGCTGTGGCGTCTTTGACTCTTACATTCACTTCAGGGTCTTCAAAGAAGCTTCTAACTGTGATGGTGGAGACCCACATACTAACTTACCTTTGGTGGGAATGTTGCAGATCAGAAGGAAGCTGGCTAAAATTTTACATGGCAGGTTCATTGTTGGGGTTAGCTTCCTTGTTGTGATTCTGAGCTCTTCTTGCAAAAGAAACTGAAGCAGAGCTGGTGGAATCCACCCCCTGAGAGATTAACCACGTGCCTCTTTTTTGCTTCTTTTACAGTAGCGTAGAATGTGCACACGCACACACATCACACACACACTCGGCAAACCGATCCTTCTGATGCGCTTCTTTGCCAAAACAGGTGTATTTGTCAGTGTGGGTTTTCTTAGCGTATTTTAATCTCAAAACCACCTCGGGTAGATTACCCTCACTGAAGAGAAGAACTGAGAGCTTAAGTAAGTCACCCAAAATCCCAAAACCCACTGCCATCGAGTCAATTCCAACTCATAGCGACCCTATAAGACAGGGTAGAACTGCCCCATAGGGTTTCCAAGCCTGTAAATCTTTACAGAAGCAGACTGTCACATCTTTCTCCCATGGAGCAGCTGGTGGGTTTGAACCGCCAACCTTTTGCTTAGCAGCCAAGTGTTTTAACCACTGTGCAACCAGGGCTCCTTTTCACCTAGGATTACCCTTTAGAACATGAGGAGCCAAATTCAACCATACAGTCTGCCTTCTACCCACTCTGCTATATTGCCTCTAACAAGGTCACATAAAAATATGGGTAAATGTTGTAAGTGAATAGCAGAATACAAATATTTATCCTATGACTATAAATATTGTAAAATGTATACATATGAATTAATTATGAAAGCAGATTTTTTCCTTTCTTCCAAAAATTGGTTTTAATATTCCACAATTGTTTTTGTCATAAAAAGAAACAAATATAAACTGATTCTCAGTTGTAAATGCTTGAAATCTCCAAATCTAATGTTTAGCATATATTTTACAACACTATTGAAATTTAACAGAATAATAGAAACTTGTTCCAAAACAAAGAAGCATAGAGATGATAAAAACACTATTAAAAAACCAGAACCAATGATTCAAAAACATTCAAAGTGGTTAACACTGTATATAGTTAAAGGAAAGGGATAAATAAGGTAAAAAAGGGAAGTGAAGGAGTACTGGGAAAGAGAAAGAGAAATTAAATTCCTAACACAGCAAGGGAAACAGATTGGAGATGGATGAGCCCAGAAAAATATGCCAGAGGCATCCAGTCACAGAAAAAAGGGCACCTAATGACAGATCTCAAAAAAAAAAAAGAAAAAAATACAGATTTATGATTCTTTAGAACGCAGTTAATAAAAAATCTTAAAAGTTTTTTTTTTTTTTCAACTTTAGGTACAAATATGGATATAATCTCTCAGAAAGTTCCCCAGGAAATGAAATTAAGTCAAAGAAATGGGTCTCTACCACTAGGTAAAAAGAAGCTTAAACAGAATATTTACCTCATTATCATGTGATAGATCCCTACCTCATATCATCCACAAAAATAAATTACAATTGGATTAAAAATGTTTTAAATAATATTTTATTGAGTTTTTAATACACGTTTATACAGCAGTTTAGATTCCCATTCAGCAATTTCTGCACTAGTTGTTCAGTGACAATTGGTTACATTCTTCACAATGTGTGAACATTCTCAATATTTCCATTCTGATTATTCTGTTTTCATTTATCTAGTTTCCCTGTCCCCTTACCTTCTCATCTTTGTTTTAAAGTAATTGTTAACTGTTTGGTCTCACGTAGGTGATTTTTTAAAGGAGCACAGTACTCATGAGTGATATTCTTTATTTTGTGTGCCAATCAGTAATTTAGCTAAAAGGTGACCTCAGGCTAGTTTCAGTTCAAGGTTTAATGGATTCAAATTCTAAATGTTAAAGGAAACTGTAGTAGGGCTGAAAAATATATAGAAAGGTATTTTTATACCTTTGAGCACGGAAGGCCTTCCTACATAAAATATACTATCTAGAAGTAATAAAATATGGGTGCAATTAACTACATAAAAATTAAAACTTCATGTGTAAGCAGAGACAATAACCTAAATGAAAAGGCATACAAAGTATTTGCAATATATGTGAAAAATTATTACTCTCTATGATATATAAATAGTTTCTATCAATCAATAAGAAAAAGAAAACCTAGTTTTCAAAAATGGGCAAAGGATATGAATGAGCAGTTTATTGAATAAATACAAATAGTCACTATGAGAAGATAGTTAACCTCACCAAAAATATATAGATATCATAGCCATTAAATGTGTTTTTCACTATCAAACTGGCAAAACTAGAAAAAAGAAATTTACATTTTTGACAAGAATGTGGCAAAAAACAGGCATCTTTATATAATATTGAAGGGAGTGTGAATCAACAACTCTGGGAGGGGAGCAGAATTTGGCAATTTTCATCAAATTCTAAAATATATATTTTGATTTAATAATTTTATTCGAGATAATCTATCTTACACAAATGTTTGCATAAATGTACAAAACTTCTGTTCAAGAATGATTACTGTGGCACAGTCTGTAATAAAAAATTGCAAGTAACTCAAATTATGACAGATCCATACATATTCTGAGATATTGTATAACAGTTAAAATAGAATGAAGTAGACCTATAAGTAAGAAATGGAAAGATATCTTTGATAAATTACTTGAAAAGAGCAAGTTGCAAAACCATAAACATGACATAACCCTTTTTTATATATTGTATTATATAATGTCACATATCATATTACATTGATATTATTAGTGTATGTATGGAAAAAAGTCTAGAAGGATTTGTGCTGAATTTTTAATAGTGCTTATCTCTCAGGACTTGAATTGCAAGGGGTCTGAAGGGAAACTTACACATTTTACTTTATCAACCCCTATGAAGTTTGAAATTTTGGTAGTACACACATGTTTTTATAATAAAAAGTTTTTTATTTTTTGAATAAAGCTAGCTTCAGACACACCTGCTTTGACAAGAGTATACAGATCCTGAGATGCAATTAAAGTCTAGCTACCAAGGTCTGGTCTAGACTTTATGATTGCTGTTGTGTGCCGTCCAGTCGATTTCAAGTCATAGTGACCCTATAGGACAAAGTAGAACTGCTCGATGGGGTTGCCTAGGCTGTAATCTTTACAGGAGCAGATCTCCAGGTCTTTTCTCCCGAAGAGCAGCTAGTGGGTTTGAACCACTGACTTTTGGGTTAGCAGCCAAATACTTAACCATTGCGCCACCAGGGCTCCTTTTAGACTATGTGGTGACCAGTATCATTTAACTTCCCTCAGCTTTTAAAGAAGTCACCCCCTTTCCTCTCACTTTCCTGATAGTTTTTCCTTAGCTCTCAGGGAGTAAGTGGAGACCGGCTTTCAGTTCTTCCTTTCAAAACGCTCATTCTGCTCCTCTCACGTCTAACTCAACTCTGAGTGATGAGCATGGCTTCAAGGGCAGAAACCATGAAAAAGAAAAGGCGTAATAAATCTGACTTTGTAAAATTTAAAGTTCTTGCATGTAAAAAGCCATTAAAAAAAAAAAAAAAAGACAAAGAACTTAAAGGGGCAAATTATTTGCAAGATACAAAGATTAATATCCTTAAAATTAAAATCCTTTTTTAAATATAGAAAGAAAGCATGGGCACCTTGATATTAAAATGGGGTCAAGGTCAGAAAAGGGACAAGTCACAAAAGAATACAATAAGCCTATGAAAACATAGTCAACTTATTAATAATCAAGAAAATATAAACTTCAACATACATGCAATGTATTTTTTTTATCTCTCGTTTAAAAAACGAACATGTACAGTGTTGATGATGGTGAAAACGGCATTCTGGTATATATGGCCAGTAGAAATGCAAATAGGTTCATAGTTTCTGGTGTGCAATTTGTCAGTCTGACACAGAAATATCAGTAGAAAGAACTGGTTAAGCAAATCATGACACAGACAAATTGTGGAATGTGGGAAAAAAAGCAGATTACGAAAACAATATGGTCCCTTTTTGTGTTTGTTTGCTTTTCAAAACCTCTGTGTGTCTTTTGGAAAGATGCCCACCTAGGTGTTGATCCCTGAATGGTGGGAAAACAGTTACTATTTTGTTGTTACTGTTGTTGCTATTCTACCATTTACAAATTGCGCATGCATTGCTTTTCAGTCTATTTCTTTTTAATTCTAAGTGGGCACCCAACTTAAGTTAAACAAACAAACAAACAAAGTTCTGAAGCTGGGTGCCATCCTTTACGTGTGTTTCAGGGGAAAATTTGGTCAACGACTCGTCCCAGTCTCTCCCTTGCCACCTTTTGTTGTCTTTGTCCTATCTTCATTGACCCTTTTCCTTACCCAGACTAACACTCCTAGGGAAACAGATTGAAGGGAAGAGAGTGAAAAGCAGAAGAGGGAGAAGAAGAAAATGTTCTCAGAGGTCTTGCTTTAGGACGGGTTCCTATTCCCTGATAGTAAAATACAGACCATTCTGACTCCCGCCTTTTTCTCCTTGTTGTTTTCGTTAGCTTCTGTGGAGTCGGCCAACCCCATGCACCCGCAATGAAATGTTGCCCTGTCCTGTGCCATCCCTATGAACAGTTGGGGATTGGACTATTATGATCCACAGGGTTTTCAGAAGTAGAACACTAGGCCTTTCTTCCTAGTGTGTCTTAGTCTGGAAGCTCCGATGAAACCTAGTCAATATCAGAGCAACACGAAAGCCTCCACTGACAGGTGGTGGCTGCACATAAGGTTCACTGGCCCGGAATCCAACCCAGGCCGACAGCACAGAAGGTGAGAAGTCTCCCACTGAGCCACCACTGCCTCATTCTCTCTCCGCAGATCAATACAAAGCACTCTTCGAGAATCAGATCAAGTTAGCACTACAGCCAAAATGACCGTTGCTATAGTTCTCACCTAACTGAATTCCTACAGTCCTGGGATTTTAGAGCTGAAAGAAATTCCGGAGGGGACCTGGCCTCCTCTCCACGTTGTAGTTGAGGGTCCTGTGGCCCAGAGAAGTCCTGTGGTGCGCCTTCCCCCAGGCCGAGTCAGGTGCCCAGTTCCCAGCCTCCCAGGCTTCCAACGCTGGGCCCCTCACTGCCTCCCACTTAAAGCTCAGTGCCATCTTTGCCTCCTGCACCCCTAAATTTAGGCAATCGGTAAGCCTGGCCTCGCCTTCCTATGTAACATCCATCTCTCTCTGGTT